CCGTGTAATTCAAAAATGTTCCATCTGCCAACACCAGCAGGCAAGACGATCCCATAACGAATTAGCACATCTCGTGAATTTTTTAATGGCCGCTGCCGCCACCTTCGTCACCAAGTCTTAAATCTTGTAATTTCACTTTCAGAAATCTAATGGGTTTCTAACTTTAACAACTATACGTACTTTGCATTTACATTTCCACTCAAGTCTATTTACACAAAATCTCCGCTCTACACTTTAGAACTTGGTAGCTTTTTTATTAGTTATGCTTTTAATCAAATTTTATAGGAATAAAGTTAAGGTTCAGACTTTTCTACCAAGAATATTTCTTCCCGAACTCATTATCGAATGTTAAGTTTTGCGAACCCTGCCATATGTTTGAAATGTTTGTTCTGTCCTATGTTGTCAGAGGTTAAATCACTTACGGGGGGCCACACGTGCATGTAATTATACAAATCCAAAAAAATTCCATGTACAAAATATATTTGCGTGCAATGGCAAAACTCGCCGCTGTAGCTATTGTCTTGTTTATCAGTTATGCAGCGTTTTTGCTGCATTTAAAATGCAACATTTAGCACTTTCGAACATATGTTTTCGAAGAGCGTTCATGCTATCGCATTTAGCAAATGTACATTTACGCGAGTTCGAAATCGTATGCTTTTGACAAACAGCCGTGTTCCAGTCGCTTATTCAGATCCGTATCCATTACGATAAATTCTCACGGAAAAGATAATGTGCAAAAACCCCTACTGAAAAGGAAAAATAAATTCTAAACCGAAAATTCAATACAAAAACCTGAATTGTTTTAACCATAACCGAACATTTGTTTGTGTATATATTCATTTGTCGGTGCTGCCAATTATATTTTCCACACCTAATTAGGAAACAAAACAAACAGAGTTGATCTCAAATTAATCCAGATTTCTATCAGCATCATATCGATGTTGAATTTGCGTAACTTTTCTTTATCCAAATAATGTAAAATAATAAATGAAATCTCGATCGGCGATCACTGAAACGCAGCTAGCGGTTGTATACTCGAAAAAGCAATGTTGCCACTTTTTCTCATTAAACCATGTTCCAATCGTGGAAATTTTGGAAGATCACAGGGATGCTTTTAGCATTTAGATTCTAAATGCAAAGATTGAGTTGCATTTAGTTGCATTTAGATGACGAATTTTGTATGGATAAATGTACATTTAGAGTAGCATTTAGAGCTAAATGCGCTAAATGTACATTTACGCGTAAGCAAAAACAGCCCATTATCACGTTTAGGGGAACAAGTGCAGAATACGGCCCGTTAAGGTAGAACAAAGCGAAAAATTGGGCGTGGTCCGCCCTTTTTCCTGATTTTACTGGTATAAAAATTGGTGCAAACTTATATTTTCAGTGATATGGAGGGATGAAGGGGGAATTATCGAAAATTTCTATATGTCAAAAAATTCCTAACCGAATTTAAAAAAATTAGTATCGTTGCAAAGGTAAATGAAATCCCTTTTTTAATATGCATATTAATATACTTTATGTGGATAAATTTCGAGAAAAATCATTTAATAGAAAAAAAAATATTTTTTTTGAAAAAAAATACATATTTACTAAATAAAGGTGTAGATAACTACTCACAACGCTATAATAGTTCAAAAGAACATTAAAATACCTTTAATTTGGTATATAATTGTTACACAAACTCTTTAACCCTCAGGCAGTAGAATTCTCCTTTTTGTGCTGCCAAAGAAGGGGGGCTGAACACCTTTTGCAGAGAACACCTTTCTGCGTAGGCGGCCTTCGGCCGCACTTAGGGATTATAGCCATCAGGCAGTAGAATTCTCCTTTCTGTATTACCGAAGAAAACAGCCGTCAACGTATGGTCATTTCTCCCTTCATGAACACCAGTAAAACAAAATTACTCACGGTATTTAGATCTAACTATGTATAAAATTAGGAAAAATTAAGGCGGATCACGCCCATTTTTTCTTTTTGTTCTAGCTTAACGGGCCGTATTCTGCACTAGTTTGGTAGTACTGATTGTAAGCTGTCAAACCAAGCTTCCGTTTTACCACGATTAAATCGCCTTTATCAACATAAAATGTGCATATTTTTTCATCTGGTTTAATCCGCTAAATTGTTATGCAGTTTCGACCGCTTTTAATCGCTAACATTCTCGTCCTTCGTGCCGGATCTCGAAGTCGTGTTATTTTTCTTGCAAACCG